AAAATATTCCCATCTAAAGATTTTAAAGAATCACTATTTAGAGTTTCTTAAGATCTTATCTTTAGAGATGTTCATTATTATTATTAATATTATTACTGTTATATATATATAAAGTACTAAAACTCAATCAGTAGACAAGCAATCATGAAATTTAAATTGCAATTAAAAAAAATTCTACATGGACGTAGATGGTATGAAGCATGTATCAAAATAAAGTTTATTAACAAATAAATATGTGGCCTCAAGTTTTAAGATATTAGTTTATTGATTAGATGAAAAAATATCCCAATTAAGAGAAAACAACCATCACATCCATCTATCATGATAGAACAATTGTTTTCTTCTACCTATGTTGTCTCTATCACTTGTTTAATGGTTGGAATAATAAGAAGAAGAAAAAGGTCCAATCCACATGGCAATCTCCAGGAACCACCGATTCTAGCCATGGTTTCTCAAGCTTTAAAGTTCTTAATCCTTGAGCTTTCATTTCTTTTACTTCCAGAAGGTTATCATATTTATTTATTCTTATTTTCTTGTAAATAAGGACTACCTTGCAAACAATAATGTTAGAAGCATAAATGGTAAACCATAAATCTCATTCATTATTGAACAACAAAAGATAATCGAACCTTCTCATGAAAGACAATTGTTTCTTATAGCTTGTATGACTTTCGATTTCTAAAAAAAAACCTTATAGTTAGAGGTCTAGGATTTTTTTATTTTATAAACCAATTTTCTCAAATAGGCTAAGAGAGAAGGCTTTAAACCTTCATAGCAAATCACATATCAAAGGAAAGAAGTAGCAAACTTAAAAAGTATGAAGCTTTAAATTCTTTTACGTAGGTCAGTTGTTGAGCATATGAACCTAGCATGAAAAGGTGAATTTTTAAATTTCTACTCACATATTACACGCCTAAGTTAGCAAACATAAAAGAAAAGAAAGTTTTGTTCTGTCTAAAAAAAATACTTTCCTATTAACGACAAACCATAAAATCATGTATAATTGCCCCAAGTTTTGATAGCAGCAAAGAACAAAACTATATTCTTTTCTTTTTTTTTTTTTAAGAAAAATTTAACCTTTGTGACTTTTATAAACTCTTTTCTTCTTTTTATATTTAAATTGTTTTTGGCTTTCACTAAAGAATAATCTTCTGTTTATCATACATCTTGAAATACCAAACCATAAGAAAGAGTTTTAAGCCTCTCTGACATCAAAAGAGTAACATCTTTCTTGAGGAACCAAATTTTGAACCTCGAAAGCTTTCTTGCTTTTCCTCGCCTAATGTTTTATAAAGGTAACCATTTTTAAAGAAAGGTTCATCCCTTTGTCTTTTTAGCATAGAACACAAACATCTAATCATAGAAACCTAACTCTTGTAAATGGTAGAAAGGTAACATAAGCAATATTCATGGAAATTACAGTGTCCATATGCATGAAAGCAGACTAAAATGGAATAGAATGGTATTTTTTCCTATCCACTTCTCCAAAAGCTATAACTTCTTTTATCTTGTAATTTTTAGCCACCAAATTTTGTCGCCTTTCCCTTTTTTTTGCTTTGTCTTCTTTTCTTTATTTTTTGTTGTCCTAAAGTTTCTTTTCGTTTTTGGTTCTTTGTTTTTCAAAAAAACATTTTTTCTTAAACGACCCACTTTTTTCTTGTAAAGTTCTTTATTTTATGCATCTGCCTTTTTTTCCCTCTTCGTCTTTTTTTTTTCTTTTTTCCTCTAACTTTTGGTAGACTCTCATTTATATATTAAAAACCAAGACACCATCCTCTTTTTTGTTTTTTTTTTCCTCCACTTATCTTCTCATCAGACCCTTAACTTTTAGCTTCTTTCGTTACAAGCTCTGTTGGTGCCAAGGTGCTTAGCTTTGTTTTTTTTTTTTTTCATGTAAGACTAAAGTGGCAGACTCGAGCGTTTCCTTTTCTCTGTAACTTTTTGGTTTTGCCATTAAAACCTCTTATAGCCTTCATGTGACCTCTTCTTTTTTTTCTTATTATTATTATTATTATTGTTTTGGTTTCAATTTAAACTTTCCTTTTCATGCAACCTAAGCCTGTGCAAAGGCTTTATTTATTTATTTTTAAAGAAATAGTTAGGCAATTTTTCCCTTTAGGCAAATTCATGGCCTTTGTCCTTTGTTTTATTTTTTTGTTTAAGCCATCTTTAATGGCCAATTTAGGTTCAAATTCTCTTTAGGCCATTTTAGGATTTGTTCTTAATTGAGCTTACAAATGTATCATTTTATGGGTCACTATCAAGCTTTTAAAATAGACTATGTAATGAACCTTTAAAATATACTGTGTAATAGGTTCAAATTAATGATTCTGGTCTATATTCAAAAACGAAATAGATCAATCACGTTAAAATGTTTCAAATAAAATTCAAGGTTTACATCATAAGTAATGCATAGAAGTAGCTAAATTTGTCCACAAAGAATTAATACTAACTGCAGTGAGAATTAATCAAAGCCTTTAAAATTAGACAACTGGCTTCTTTCAATGACTAAAGGAACGAAGATGTCTTGAATGATAAGCGATGACATAAAATGTATTTTATGTTTTTTTTAAATGTGTTTTAATTTTAATAATTATATATATTTTATTTTTTTTTTGTGTTATTAATCCAATTTCAAAATTAAAAATGATAACAAATAAGATATAAATAAATACACCACACTATTCAACCCATTTAAATATTTTTTTTCATAATATTAATAATAATTAGAATTAGATCTATGTTTTGTCATGGGATAAATTTTTTTTTAATTATGTTTTTAATATGAGAGAAGAAAAATTTTTATGTAAGTTTTAATGGATGATAACATACAAATATGTATTTATTTTTTAATATAAATTAAACTTAATTGCATATAAATGTAGTTTTTATTAAGTTAAAGTATTAGATATTATCTTTATCAATATAATATAAAACATAAATTAAATAAATACTAAAATATATTCTTTATATACCATGAAGAGGGTCGGGATAGAGCATTCCAAATCCAATCTTGACTTGACTCAAGTTGTTCAAAGAGGTAAAACTTAATCAAATTCTTATTTAAAAAAAATCACATTGATTGGATTATGATGAATCAAAACCCATCGGATATAGGTTGTTTTTTCATTTATAAATCTATTAATTTTTTCTTTACAAAATTTATCTAAAAAATAAAAAAAATGACAAAAAAGCCAAATAGGATGAACATTAATTAATTAAATTATAATATATATAAATATAAAATTAAATAAATAATAAAATATTTTTTATATATACCAAAATCGAAGCGTAACATTCAAAATCTTACTCTGACTCGAACTCAATTTTTAAAAAAACTTAATCCAACTATCCTAAATTAAAAAGATAGAGTGTTAATTGATTCAAGATAAATTGAAATATATTGAAATATGTTATTTTGTCATCTCTATATCAATTGATTTTTTATTATAAAATTTATCTAATAAAAAGTAAAAAATAAAAGAGAAAAGGAAAAAAAAAAAGCAAAAGTTAAAAAAAAAAATGAGGATATGAAAAAAAAAAGAAGAAATGTGTCACGTGAACACTTTAAGCGAAGTGAAAAATCTTTAATTCATCTTCAACAAAATCCTATTTAAAAAAAATACTAGATGCGATATCAATTTTTTTTTTGAAAAAATACATTTATATTGGATTAATGTGAATTAAAATTAATTGAATACGAACTATTTAATTATCTCTATTTTCATTGATTTCTTTTTTACAAAATTTATTTAATTAAAAAATAAAAATTTTTAAAACAAAAAATAAATTTAATCAAAAATAAAATTTAAAAAAAAAAGTATAGAATGGAGGAAGGTTCCCATTCTCTATAAAATTAATATTATTGATATTAATAATAGTAATAATAATAGTAATATTTGCGATACTAATCTTTTTACAATTGAATTAAAAATGATGAGAACAAATTAATGAGATTTTGATTTAATGATAAAAAAAAGATTTTAAAATTTTGAAATCATATGTTTAAATTTTATTATATGTAAATTTAAGATGTTTAATTATATTTTAATTTATTGATTAATTATTCAATGCGATATTACATATGAATGTAATAATTAATTATAATTATAATTTTTTTGTATATATATTTTTAATTTTAAAAAATAAAAAAATTTGATCTTTTATAAAATATTAAGATTTTAAATTTAATAATTAAAGTTTAAATTAAAATAATATTAAGTATTAAAAAAAAATCATGGAATGAAAAGTTAGATGGTAACTCTATGCCATGCGTCGTTGCATAGGTACGCATAGCTGGCATTTGCAGTCAGGTCCATCGTACCCTCTAATGTCTACATTACTCCCATCCCATGATCTTTGACTTCAAATTTAGTATCTAATTATTGTTGATTTGTTACAACCAATCTTCCCTTATTACTATCATTTTTCTTTTATAATTGGTAACGTTGTCGGATAATCATAGAATTCTAAGTAAATAGAAAGGACAAAAATATTTTTTTAAAAGAAATTGCCGTATTTTTTCGTTGGGTTAAAGTGTAAATGTAAAAATTAAGAATAATTTAAAATTTAATTTAATTTATTTGAATTTTTATTTTTAAAAATAATATTTATAAATTTAGAATTTTAAATTGTAACATATGCAAATTTTTTATCCAAACTGTAGTTTTATTTGGCAAAAATATAAAAATTATATTGATGATAATTATTTATTTTTTATTATGAAGAAGTTATACTTTAATGGTAAAAAAAATTATAAACGTTAGAAATTTTAAATTTTAAAATTATGAAATATTAACTATTAAAATAATTATACAAATAAAATAAATTATAATTTGATAATTATAATTTTTATTATTTAGCATTAATAATAATTTTATAATGGATAAAAAAAAAAAAAAAGGTTGGTCTGGTCCTCTCTCTTTCACTTCCTCTCAATATTTAAAGGGGCGCTGCTGCAACCTTTCATAATTACTATAACTGACACCCATCACCTGGCGCCATTTCCTAAAACCACCAAAATTCACAGCCAATTATCTTCCTCACTAATTTAACCACTCAACCCACCAAATACTATCTACAAAGACGTCGCGAGACTCAAATATCAAACTTCACAGATAAAAACAACAATGTCTTTCAAGAATCGATCACCGCCGAGTCCTCAGCCGCAACGGCAACCGCAACCAAAGGATTTCAAACAGCGGGTTATTACTTGCCTTAACAAACTCGCCGACCGCGACACTCTCGCCCTCGCTTCCGCTGAGCTCGACTCCATCGCTCGGAGCGTAACCGTCGATTCCATCACTCCGTTCCTTGACTGCCTCCATAATACGGACTCTTCGTCCAAGTCTCCTGTTCGGAGGCAATGCGTAAGCCTTTTGACTTTGATGTCTCATTCGCACGGTAACACTCTGTCTCCTCACCTTTCGAAGATGGTTTCTACCATTGCCCGCCGCGTCCGCGACCCCGACTCCGCCGTCCGTTCCGCCTGTGTAGAGGCAACCACTGCAATGTCGTCTCACATCACGAAACCTCCGTTTTCGGTTTTGTCGAAGCCTTTGATCGAAATGCTCATGGTGGATCAAGATGTGAACTCGCAGATCGGAGCCGCTATGTGTTTGGCGGCGGCGATCGAGGCGGCGCCGGATCCTGAGACGGAGCAACTTAGGAAGATGTTGCCAAAGTTAGGGAAGTTAGTGAGAAACGAAAGTTTCAAGGCGAAAGCGGCGGTGTTTGGAGTTATCGGAAGCGTCGCTAGTGTTGGTGGTGCCGGAAGTAAAGGAGTTTTGGATTGGTTAGTGCCCTGCGTGGTGGGGTCTTTGAGTAGCGAAGATTGGGGAACGAGAAAGGCGGCGGCGGAGGCTTTAGGGAAAGTGGCTATGGCGGAGAAACAGCTGGCAATGGAGTATAAAGCGGAGTGTGTGACGGCTCTTGGAAATAAGAGATTTGATAAGGTGCATATGTGTATATCTTTTACTCAGTAATTATTTAATAATGGGTTTTTTCCGGGAAGGAAAATAGAAAAAAGAAAAGAATGCTTATCATTTTGATAAATTTTGTTGGTACAGGTAAAGATTGTCCGAGAAACTATGAATCGTAGTTTGGATTTGTGGAAGGAACTTCCTGGAGTTTGTGAGGAGGCCTCAGCTCCTTCTCAGCTCAAGTCATCTTCGATAGGTATAATAAGATTCAATTAATTGTCTGATATTTGGAAATTAATAATGTCCAGACCCAGAAAATTTGATACCATATGGAGTTTATATATATAAAGAAAAAAGTTATACTTCTTCAACGTGAATACTCAATTTATTTACAGGTTCCAGATTAAATTTTGAAAATTAAAGTGTTGCTGCTGTAAACATTTATGCTTGGTAACTAACGCTGCAAGTATTTGATTTTATCATTTATGATTCTGTGCTTTGCACGTGGAAACAGATAATGGAAGCGTTGGATGCTTTTCTTCAGTTGCAAAAAGTGTCAATGATCTTGGTTTTAGAACTCCCCAATCAAAGAAAGTAGTTCCCACGAGCAGGTCCCCTCCGCCTGATGCTTCCACCATGCCCACTGCCAAGAAAGAGACTCCCCTGAAGAGTGATAATAGGAATGGGAACACATCCATTTTTGGTAGGCTGAACCGCTCAAAACCCTTTCACTGGAAGATTGATACCGCTGAGCCAAAGAATCTGTTTTCTGGGGCCTCTGGTGATGATCATGTCAAAAAGAGTAACCTTGGAGACCTGGAAGCAAGAGAAACTGGGGACAGTGGAAATTTTAGGCCAGAAACAGAACGTGTATTCTTTGGCAAGGTCAGTGATGAAAAAGTGCAGAAATTTGGTGGTTTGAGATCTGGGTCTCAGGTGGTTCCTTTTCATGATGAGGAGAATTTAGATGTTTATGACAAAAATGCAGCTCTAGGAGTTGATGAGAACCCCAAAGCCATTGAGGATCTGTCTTTGATCCGGGAACAACTTGCTCAGATTGAAGGCCAGCAATCCAATCTGTTAAACCTCCTCCAGGTAGTTTATCAAAGCTGAATATCCTCTTTCTCTTTCTTTACATAGGTTTTTCGGTTCTGCATCTGCCAGGTAATGCTTTATGTAATTTCTTAGTATTGTTCTCTGGAAGTTACTAGTCTTCAACTGTGTTTTGACTTTGGTTTTTCCAGTGAAATCCTTGGCTTATGGCATTTGTGATAACGCCTAGTATTTTATGAAATTCTTTTGAAGCCTGCTTGTGCTTACTTCTATTCTTTAGTCATTCCATGGAGGTTATTTTGGATCTACTTTATGTGGACACTCAACTTTCTCAGAACCTGCTTCTTCTTTTCTTTTACCCTTTTAGAGTACCATTTGGAGTTTATTTAAGATGGAGATAAACCCTTTCCATAGATCATTTTTAATAATTTACATATTTTGCTATGTAATATGCCTTGCATGTATTTGGTATTAGCTTTTCTTTTTGCTCTTTTTTCCCTACTATTTTGTTTGTACTTTATGATAAATTCAACCTTGTATCATACTCTGCTAATCTTAAATTATTTTAACCTAAGTACTGATACATTTACAATGGTTGTTCTTTATTTGATTCTAGAATTTCATTGGGAGCTCCCAAAATGGTTTCATATCTCTAGAAACACGTGTAAATGGCCTGGAGATGGCTCTGAATGAAATATCTTATGATTTGGATGTTTCAAGTGGTAGGATTCTAAACATGGATTCTGCAGATAACACATGTTGCAAGCTGCCTGGTGCAGAATTTTTGAGTCCCAAGTTCTGGAGGAAAACTGAAGGCCGGTTTTCTACTTCAAGGTTATCTTCTTCTGGGTGCATGCCTTCCCTAAATGCAGTACGTAACACAACTGATAATGATTCTGGTGGTGAATCTTATAAGCCAGCAGTCAGCCAAAGATATCAGCGTCAAGGTTGGGGTGGATTTGTTTTGAACCCAGTGGCTGACTCTGGCAGTGGCATGAGAGAGAATTCAGGATTCTCAAATAGAACATCAAGGGATACCATTCAAAAGTGTGAGAGGGCTCAGTTTGGCAATGCTAGTGGGTTATGATGGGACTTCAATGGTTCGATGTACAGCACGAACGAGCCTTAGCAGCAGGTAATTGAATTTCACTGTAATTTGTCTTGTACTTGTACTATTATAATTATAATTATCTAGTTAGGTCAACAATTGCTCTTTAAATTTGCTATAGTTCATGACTGACTAGAATGCTTCGTGTACTTGAGTCAGTTATTTAAAGTGGCAACAGGTGCTGCACTTTATTTGCTTTCATTTTTTTTTTTTTCTGAAAAAATGCTTTAAGACTACATGCTGATGTAAAAAAACTTTCCCTAGCTGCAACATCTTGGGTTCCATTTGATTGGTGTTTTTTTTTTTTCTTTTTTTTTAACTATTTGCCTTTTGTGTTTGAATAATTGCAATAAAACAAAAGCAAAAGGTAAAAAGTGATAGTATCATAATTGATTTGAAATGAAAAAATAGTTAAAATGTAACATTAGTTATAACATAATTAGTCTATATAAAAGTATAACTATACATTTTGTTATTTACAAAAAATTACATATTTTGTGTATGATCCTTATAAAAATATTTTGCTTTTGCATTCAAACACACATTTTGTTTTCCTTCTTTTGAAAGTAAAAAACAAATAAAAAGAACATCAACCTAAAGAGTATTGGTTTATATATTATTCCCAATATCTTGTTGATCACCTTTTCAGTTACTGTTGATAAATAATGCCAAGATAATTTTACTTTAATTTACATGCTTTAGATTTCAAGTCCCTACAGGAGATAGGCGTTAATGGGGTTTTGCAACTGGCTTACATCCACAAAATAGAAAAACCTATTAAGACCATAGAAAATTTGCAAAGTTAGAGCACAAAACATTGAAACTTTGAAACCCAGCCCTAAGAACATCAACCCCCACAAATGTGTGTTTTAGACCTCACTAGAAACCCTAGCCCTGACATAACATATTTAGGTTCTACTCAAAGATTTTAAGTGTTCTTTTCTCATGCTGTGCACCACATCTCTACAAACCTTGTCAAACCCTCACTAACAACTATCTTTCTTTATCATTCTTTAACCTTGGTAATCGATTCTGTTAAAAAAGAGGCAAAGAGAATTTCAACATACAATTCATTAAAAGATTAAACTAACTAAATATGATTAGTGTCATTAGTGCAGCAAATTTGGTAGATTTGGTTTGGAAAAATTGAATTAATATTCCTAAATGCTTATAGTTTACTCTAAAAGTGCAACTTTATAATCATGCAGCAGTGTTTCCTACCAGCTGTTTTTGTTTTGCTGATGTTTTAGCTTATTTAATATATGAGAGTGACAAGTTAAGGAAGCCATAAAGAAAGATAAAATGGGTGTGCCAGGACAAGATCTTGCATTAATCACTGAAGTCTTTCATTACATAATTGAAGCAGTTGAGCTAATGTTACTTTCCATCAGATCTTGATCTATTAGTCTTTGACCATGAGATAAGTGTTTTAGTTACTTCTGATGCCTGATGTGTGCAATTTGCCATTACCATTTTCCTGCCAAAAAAAAAAATAAAGTTTTGATTACCAAGTCAATTGTTTGATAATCTTTTTTGTTGGTCTATCAGATCCGCTGCTTAACTTAAATGGAAGTTGGGCTGTTTGAATTACCAGCAGACAAGCGCCTTGGACAATCAATCAAGCATGAAGATGAAATGATACGGCAAGTCGTAGATCAAATTATGATGCAGAGGTGCTGCCGTTTGGCTTCTTACACGAGATTGTAGGTTTTCCTTTTAAATTCATTAGGAATATTATTAATCGCAATACCAGAGCATGGCTCTGCATATACGATGTATTCAACAGAATCCTTGCCCCATCACAATTTTTTTTTTTTTTTCAATAGAGGGCCCCATCTACGTACAGAGTCTTTCTGCATCTCTTTTCCGCATTTCATTGTCAGTTCCTCTGTGTTATTTAATTTTTCAATCTCATGCGATGTATTTTTCATCCAGAAAAAAAACAGATATCACTGAGATATGTTTCTATGCTGTGTCTAAAACTGTTTTCTGTTTAAGTAGAGAACTGCTATGTTAGGTCTTACCTCGTCACGGTTTCTGCCAATTATGATCCCATGGCCTATGCCCAAACTCAGGCAAAATCTTAAGCAACACAATTTCATTTCATTTATCTTCATATTTTGCTGACCCGACTGATTGGTTTGGCAGGCTTTGGAATAAAGCAGGCCAAGGCCATGCATTGCCGATTATTCACCTCGGGACTCTGCGAATATTTCACGGTTCCTAGTTTCTCATATAAAAGCAATGTCTGTGTCTGTGACTATGAGCGTATGTGACTATGCGTTGGGTTTAATATTTGAGTAAAACTGTTTTTGCCCTCTTGTTAAAACTGGAGTGCATTCTATGAGTGGTTCTATTTTGATCAAAAGGCAAAATCTTGAATGGTTAGATGTTACGTTTCTAGCATACAAAGTAACTAGATTGCCAAAAGCCACGGATAAGATAATAGAGGATTATAAAAGATATTAGGAATCCTAACTGAACCGAGTCTTCCGTCTCCGGTAACTTGGTTGAACGGTGATTAAGTCGAAATTTAATTTTTGATATAAATTCACCAGTGTTATATTATATATATACACGTAAAAGTATAATAATTAAAAGAATTTTTTATCAATAATTTTTTTATTGACTGTAAAATAAAAAAATTAATTTATTGAAATAATTCTTTAATTAGAAATATCGCAGCTTTTTTAAAAAGAAGATTATTGGACTATAAGAGAGTGCTATCCCATAATTTCTATTGCTATATCATTCATTTGTTAATATGAATGTTGTGATCCAAGTGGGTTTCATATTTTGTTTGGGCCAGGTTCCATTTTGAGAGTCACCATTTGGTGGTATAAACCGATAACTCATAACCGATTGTAGGTGCTAAGCCCATAAGTTTTTTGGTAGTGCTTCATTTGGCCAATGTAATTTTGGGTGTAAACAATACGTGTTTAAGATTTAATAATTTTTAAGTCATATTTGATGGATAAAATAATAAATAAAATAGTATGATAATTATTTTTATATTATATTTTATTTATTTTAAATATACTAGTTTTATTATATTTTTAAAAATTATATCAATAATTTAAATTATATAAATTTTATAAAAAATAATTTTGATTAATAAATAAAGTATCTTCTTTAAATCTTTACATATATTAAATATAAGATAAAATAATATTATTTTATTTAATCTTATTCATAATATTATCTTATTCTATTTTATCATAATCTTATGTACCAAATATAATCTTAAGATACAATCTTTAGTGTCAACTAGTGAGTCATAATTTTTCTTACTTTTAAAAGCATAATTATTTGATAAAACTATGATATTCATTAAACTTTTAAATTCTATTTCAAAATATTAAAATTTAAAGAAAATATTTGTAGAAAAAGAAAAAAAAATAAAGAAGGGAAAACACGATGTTTGAGAAAAATATAAATAATAAAAAAGAATTCATATCCTTTTCCATTTTTAAAAATAAAAACAATATTTTTTCTTTATGTCTATCTTGACAATTATTTTACTAAATTCTTAAAATACACGTTTATTAACTAATATATATGGTTTTTGAACTATTTTCTTCTCAAATTATTGCTAATTTTTTACTATTTAAAAAAAATGATTTGACGCAAAGACGAACAAAACTTTCACCAAAACGATCTAAAAATCAAAATTTTCAACATGTTCTCTAAGCCAGGTGTTGCCACCAAATTCATCCGTCGTTAAATTTATAAATAGGATAGGATGCGATACATGAGCACTTGGTTCATTAGTCAAATATAAACAAAATGGAATCATGAAAAGCATTTATCAGGTTGACCGGTTAGGGAAGTTTCCATGATTAAGATATGGGATCGATGCCTCCTTGGCATTTATCGTATTCCGATTCCTTTCTAGTACGACGGTAAGAAATAAATTTCATCAATTGCATTAATTTTACATATATATATATATATTAATATTTAATATATTATCAATATAATTTTTAAATTATATAAACAGATTAATAGAATGATACATTTTTATTTTTTAATTAATTTTTTATTTTTTAAATATATTATAAAAAAATGTGTCATTTTATTAATTTCATTTGTATAATTATAAATTTATACTAACGTTTTAAATATTAACACACACATATATATATATGAAAAAAAGTACAAATTATGGATAGGTTTGACAAGGGGTTGAGTCAGGGTTAGTTTTTGCTCACTTCGAACCCGATCTGATTTTATAGTTCTAAAATCTGAACTCGAATGGATTCGAAAAATTTTTATTATTTTTTATATCCGACTTAATATTATTATAAATCATATCCAATCCGATTCGAAATTAATAAAATATTATTTTTTAAATATAATTAATAATTATATAATTATATATAAATTAAAAATTTTAAAAATTAATTTTTAATATAAATATCAGGTCAAATTTGCCTAAAATTCAAATCCGACCCGACCTTAACTTTTTGTTAATAATATCCGATTTGATCTAACCTAAAACTCGATTTAAAAAAAAAAAATCGATCCTATGAGATCGATCAAGTCAAAATCTGCCAGGTACAGATTGGGCTGCCAACCTTACCATGGAGAGAAGACTTAAATGTTGAACTTTTTTTTTAGGTAATATTTGGTATTATTTTTAATATCATCTTGGTAATTTAATCATAAAAATTATGTTATTAAGGTGATATTATTATTTGCAATCCGAAATCACTTTGTTTGATTAAAAAATCATTAATTATTAGAAATTAAATATTATTATATTTGATATTACTAAAAATTAAATATTATTTTATTTAAAATATCAAAATAACTATGCATATTATAATAGTTATATAACTTAATGATTTTAATGTTGTTTAAAAATAATAATTTTTATATAAAATATTAGTGTTTTATTTACTTCATAATAAATATCATTAAATTATTAAATTAAAAATATATTTATTGATAGTAAATTAGTTTTTATAGTATAAATTATGTAAAAATCATTTTACTTGAAAAATAAAACTAATATATTAAAATCAAAAGATTATATTAATATATAAATTTTAAAATTTTAAAAAAATTATAAAATATTTTTAAATTTGTTACAATAAATATTAGTTTGAAAATATAAATTTTGTAATATAAAATAATTACAAGTAATTTTAAGAAAAAATAAGTTTTCAATTTACATATTAAAAAAATAATATAACTATTGTTAATTTTATATATCATTTTACTCCAATAATAAAATGCTTTTTATCATTTTAGATGAAAATTAGATCGATTTTCAAAGCAATGACCTAATCATTCTTAGTAATCTAAAATAGTTATCATATAAGATCATTATGTAATTATCAATCACATTGATCTAATCATCATATGTAAATTATTATAATTTTTTGAATAATTACTTCTTATCAAGTATTATTTTGTTAAATTAACTTAATTACTTCATGTACTTTTAAAAAGTTATATTCCAGACCAAATAAGCTGATTGGCTTCTTTTTACGTGGCAAATGAAAATGAAAATGATGGACGTTATTGGAAATGAGAAAAAGAATTCATTTATTTTTTTGTAAATATTTTTTCTTCTTTGTGCGATATTTAAAATAAAAACATTTTAATTAGGTACTTAAATTTTATTTTCATATATTAAGTTATCCTAAACCTTTAATATTATTAGAATAATATTAATATGTTATTTAAATATTGATGTAAATGACATGTGACTATTATATAATTTGAGATGTAGTTGATACATGTCATTTTTAAAAAATAAAATAAAATATTTTTTAAAATTTTTTTTAATTTTTATTATAAATAACATGTGATAGTCACATCACTACCATATTACAACTACTTATCATTCATATTAGTATTAAGTGACACATCTGCATTATTCTAATGGTATTAAAAGATTGAGGTAACTTAACAATAAAAATGAAATTTAGGTACTAAATTAGAAATTTTTTTAATTTAAATATCACATTAAAAAATTTGTAATAATTTAAGGGTCAAGTAAGGCATTATCCCTTTCTTTTATGAAAGTCATTCATTCTCTCCTCCTTTCCAAAACATTCTTAATTTTTATAAAAGCAAATAGTGAGGAAGGTGAGTGAAACAACATTTTCTTATATTGAAGATGCCATTCGTATTAAAATAAATATTTATTATAATTGTATTAGCTTAATTTAGAAAAAAAAAATTGCCTTCGTTTTACTAAGTATTATCTAGAGAATAGTCAATAGAATTGCTGCACTGGCCTGGCAAAGGCATTACATAGTTAGAAAACCATATATTTGTTGTTCTAATTATTTCCATAATTCAATGGATGTTTAATATTTACTTAATAAAAGAAATCACTATTATTACTTTTTGATACAAAGGTGGACGAATTTTAAATATAAAAAAATATTATAAGTATTAAAATTAAAATTTCATATTTATTAAATTTTTAATTTTTAAAAATAATTACATTAACCGATTAAATTAAGCATCAAACTCAAATCACTAGTAAGTTAATTGTCCTAGCAGTAACTTTATTTTTGGGTGGGCAAGTGAGTACATTTCTTTTTGGTTTTGCTACGTGGGGGGAAAGCAATAATATCATGGGTTGAAACATGATTAAAAGAAAAGGAAGTTTCTTCCCTTAGATCAAGAAGATAAAAGGAAAGGAAAACTAAAGGGAAATAAATTTCTTTCATGTTCAGATTTCACATGTTTGATTTATTGATGATAATCAAAGCGTGCATTATACGAAATTGGTGTAAAAACAACCAAACTTTGGACTGCCAGCTATGATCGAATGTGATCCACACCCACTCCTCAAACAACACGTTATCTGTAGCCTACCAAATAATATAAATAATTTCCATATTTCTCTTTGTATAAAATATACCCATTTTATCTGAAGCTGTCTCCAATGATTTTAACTAATTCCCAAATTTATATAATTTTTCTTTGCTTTTTTCTTTCATAAAAAAGCAAAATTTTTATAATCTATAGTTTGATTGATTGAAGGTGTAACCTGCAATGTGCTGAGCACCCTCTTGGCACAACATTTCGGGTTCTTCTCTCATCATCAAGACGAATAAACAGTTGCGGGAAGCCAAATGACAAAATTCCAACCTTATCTGAAACATAAACAAACATGTTAGAGGGAAACCATGAATCAACTAGCTAGTCACAAGACTGCTATTAAGTATAGTTTAAAGAAAAATTGACAAGATACCTAGTTGTTAGCTGGACTTAATTGGACACTTTCATAACATAAAGGTCAGACATTTTATTTTTTTTAATGTTTAAAAATCTTTAGTTAAAGAAAAATTAATGCCTCAATTACAACATATATATTTTACAAAAAATTTAGAAGAAGAAAGGCTACTTCATTTCAGGGTTAGGATATACTATACGTTTTAAATTTATACTGAATTTATATATTGTTTTTAAAAGATTGTTGACAATAACAATTGAATTTAGTCATATAAATAAAGTATTCGGTTTATTAACTCAATCAATCCCATTTATATTACCAATTCAACCAATATACAGCATATTTCTGACATTGACAAAATAATAAAGGCTTGCTTTATTTAAAGGGGGTGTAATTTGTAGGTAATTACAATTCCAAACTTTAGTGGGAAGAAAAGAAAAACGTTTATAAATTGAATTTGGTGCAACTTGAAGTAAAGAAGATGTGGGTAAGGACAATTTGCACCATACCGGCAGATATTTGATTGAGAAATGTGACAATAAGTTTTGCTTTATTTTCCCGATTGTGAGGGAAGGGAAGGGGATGACGAGATTTGCCATCGAACTTGTTCAATCGATAGAGATTGTGTGAGGTGAAAGGGACTTTTTCACTTGCGTTCACATAGCTGGAGTTTTTTCTATCTTATGTTCAATATATGCATATATGCATAATAACAAAACAATGACTTGATGCAAAAACATCATTTTCTTTTTTTTTTCTTTTTTGATTTGAATAAAACTTTTTTATATTTACTCTTTGAACTGAATCATGTATAAATATTAAATTAAATTATTATAATTTTTTAAAAAATTGTGTTTTGGTCAAGAACAACTATGAAAAAAGTTATTACTATAATTTGGAAAAGGAAAAATGTCAAATAGACTTAAATGGAGCTTGTAAAGTTTTTTTATGTAAAATATTTTAATTAAAAAGAATATAATTAGTTATTAACAAAAAAAAAAGTTTAGTAACAATTGATAGTATAACTTATTAAATAGTCTTTTAATGGTACAACTTATTGAATAGATTATTTCATTTTAAAAAATTATTGAATAGATTACACATTACATAATTATCAAGTTTTGATGTTTCATTTGAATGGATATAGTTTTAAAAAATTGAATAGATTATATTTAGTTAATTATTATTAAATTTTTTTATTAATGCTTTAATATGATTTTTATTTAATACTTCATGTATATTTAATTTACTTTATTGAGTTCATTTGATGCTCTTGTCTCTATTTTTAGTTTTAGTTTTTAGTCACAAGCTTTGATTAAGAAACTTCATCAAAGTTTTTTTAACCTTTTAAGATAAAATTTCACTTTCTCTTTTGTCAATTCTTGATGTGATTTGAAAATTTTGGATGGATTCTAAATCTCTATGATATTGCATTTATAGTACACACCCATTTTGAAATATGTAAACACAATAGGAAATTGTTATTAGATTAAGATTAAATTTATCACTCTATTATTGTAAGTCACTATTGAATTGTGTTACAATATTTTTAATTTCGTTAAAATTTGTTGTTGTATTTTAGTTTTGTTGATTTTTGAACATAAAATATTAAAAATGATGAACATTTATCATTTGTATTAATAGAAATTTTATGAAATATCTTTTGTCCAAAAATCAATAAAATTAAAAATATAATAACAAAATTTATTATTTGCATTAACAAATTATTCAACAATACGTTATTTTTCTTTGATAAATAAAACAGAAGCCGTTGACGTTTTCTTAGAATTTTACGTAAACTTCTCTGAGATAAATAATTTTTTTTATGCAATTCCAAATATGAAGTAAGTCTTCGTATCTTATTGGTGAAACTGCTTATTTGAAATTCAACGGACCCCTTGTTTTCTTTTTTTTTTTCTTGAAAAATAATTGAGATGAATGAATTTTTTACCATAAAACAAAATTTTCTCTCTCCTTTTTTTTGAATGTGAATTTTACTGATCAGTAATAATAATAATACCATTCATTTTAATATACACAATGATTTAAAATTGGTTATGAACTTTATAATTTTTTCAAATAAAATTAATCAATCCGATTTTCAATTATAATATATGAAAAAATGTACCATTGATGAATTTTCAAACGCAAATACATATGTATCCTTACCATACTGAAACGACTGCTAATATCTTTGTGTATTAATCAAAAATCAAAAAATAAAAAACAAAAGAACGAAATTCAATAAATTTAAAATACAATGGCAAAATTCAACATTAAATTAAAGTATAATAATAAATTTTGTCTTTATTGTTAATAATTGCATAACTAACAAATTTAATCTCCTAAGCTTGAAAGAGAAACAACATCACCCTTTAAGCGCCAAAAGTGTGGTTGTGTGCCTTTTCCTGTTATATTAGTATTAGTAAGACCAAACATTAGGAAGCAAACTTATTATTTAGGAATGCGAAAACAGAATTATAATAGTATTAAAATTTTAATTTTTTTATCATCAGAGTCAATACCAAACATCTTAAAATATATATATATATATATAAAAAAAAACAGAATTATAGTAAAAAGCCAGAAAGACCGGTAAGCCTGTCTGTCTGTGAAAGCCAAGTGTCTCTGCTTCACATCATCAAAAAGCAAAAAATAAAAGAACAAAGTCCAACACTTTTGAACATCTATGCTGAGAATCCACCGTTCCTGTCCATTGTTTTTACCCAATAATCTCCATGGTTTTGCTATACAATGACATTGCCCCATTTTTAGTCTGCCCTTAGACGGCAGCCATAAACGCGTAATTCAAAGGTCAAAAAAAAAACCCTGTCAGTAATTCTTGCTTCCAGATCTCCGCTATCGCACGTACTCCCTCAACAGTCAGTTTCCTTAACCAACAAAAAAAAAAGTCACCCCAGATCTGTCATTATATTCTTTTCCTTCTCGGCCCTTTCTTTCATTCTCTTTATTTTTCTTCTTCCATTTTTCTTTTACTTCTTACTATTTAGTTTCAGCTTTTTTTTTTCTTCTGAAAAGATATGGATTCTGAGCAGCGTCGGAAGCGGAAGAGAATCTACAGGCCCTACTCACGGACTCGGTTTTTGTCAGTAAGGTCGTTAATCTTTTGCTTGTCTTTCTTGGTTTTCCTTTTGTTCTTGGCTACAGATAGGTTTCCAATCCGGACCGTATCTTTTCACCCAGTTCTTAGCGTCCCAAGTTTTTCAATCTTGTCAAAAAGTTCACTTCAGGATTCTTTTCATGAAAATTTACGGTTACCTTTGAGAGTAGAAGATCGAGTCTTGTTCCCTGATCACTTGCTTTTGCTTGTATCCAGCAAGATTGTTCAAGCAGAAATGTTGGATTGTGTTTACAACAAAGTTTTCAATGATTCTAGTGAAGTAATTGAGGAGATTAAAGATAAGGAGATTGTCTACCAAGGGGTTCTGTCTATTGATGAATATGATGGGTTTAGATCGATTGTTAGGTGCCCTCTCCCACCTCTGAATTATTCGGCCACTGTAGCTTTGAGGCGGCGAGGAGATGGGGTTTATCATAATTGGTCTTTGAGGGGTAATCAGACGGTTCACTCATGGGATAGAATGGTTTATGAAGCAGCATTGGATGGGAAAACTGCGGTTGTTTTTGTTAAGGGGTTGAATCTTCGACCCCATAAAGAATCCGATCCTGCCCAGTTCAGATGCCAGTTTGGTTCGGGGAATTGGGATAAAGATGAAGGGTTCGTGCTAATGACTGAAGCAGTAGCGGCTGCACAAGAGGTTGTTAGGTGTTCGTTGCCCAGGAGTATAAGAAATAATCCGGATAAGGTTCAGGGAATTCGGGTCACTGTTGTCCATGGTGGTGAGAGTGGTGCCGAACATGTGCCAATGACATCTGCGGTTAGTATTCACAATACCGGATCCTATGAGCACAGGAGGAAGCAAAGAAGGCATAAGAATCTGCCTATGCCTTCTGTGGCTAAACTATACAATTCAAAGTCCTACCAGAAGAAAAGGAAGAGGGAGAAGTATGAGCTCTGCGCCTGCACTATGCTCTGGAACCAGGCACCGGCACTGCGGGAGTGGATTATGTACCATGCCTGGCTAGGGGTTGAGCGGTGGTTCATTTATGACAATAATAGTGATGATGGAATTCAGGAAGTTATTGAAGAGCTTGATTTTCAAGATTATAATGTGAGCAGGCATTGCTGGCCATGGATTAAAACCCAAGAGGCAGGGTTTTCGCACTGTGCTTTGAGAGCAAGAAATGAGTGTAAATGGGTAGGATTCTTTGATGTTGATGAGTTCTACTACTTCCCTCGTCACCACCGGAGAGCTTTACTGGGTCAAAATTTACTAAGATCCCTGGTTGCTAATTACTCTTCATCTAGGACAATTGCAGAAATAAGAGCAGCTTGCCACAGCTTTGGGCCATCTGGATTGAGCTCAACTCCATCACAAGGAGTAACTGTAGGTTACACTTGCCGACTGCAAAGCCCAGAGCGACACAAGTCTATTGTGCGCCCTGATTTACTCAATGATTCTCTTCTCAATGTTGTGCACCACTTCCAGCTGAGAAAGGGATTAAGATACCTGAATGTGCCTGAAAGTTCTATCATAATAAACCACTACAAGTACCAGGTATGGGACACCTTTAGAGCAAAGTTCTTTAGAAGGGTTGCAACCTATGTTGTTGACTGGCAAGAAAACCAAAACCAAGGGTCCAAGGACAGAGCGCCTGGGCTTGGAACTGAGGCCATTGAACCACATAATTGGCGACTACAGTTCTGTGAAGTCTGGGACACCGGTATGAGGGACTTTGTCCTGACAAATTTTGCTGATCCTGCCACTGGAGGCTTACCCTGGGAGAAGGCTCTTTTGCAACAATACCAAACTTGATTGCTTGTAGGTAATGACACCAGAAAAAATTCATTCTTTTCATTGTTTTTTGCATTCTTATCTTATTATTATTTTTTTATAGATATGAGATCAATTGATTATAGGGTTCTTACACAGCTGTAAATTTTGTGATGATGAAATGACTATTTTTTCTCTCTTTCATTCCTATACTAGTTCACGAGTTATTGATGATTTTTCCTGTAGTTTATTTCTGTTAAAGTGGCTACTTGTGCAGCATCTTCATGTTTTCCTGCAGATGAGATGAAATACTATAGAACATAACTTACTAACAATTGAATAAATTTAAGGGAAAACTTTTGATAAAATATGTTGGAAAAACTCAATTCTATTTCAATAATAAGAACAGGATGATGAACTTCAGTGCATGATGTAAAATGTTTCTGAATATCTTCTGTTCAAAATAACTGCATCCTTTATGTATTATATAGAGTGCGGTTAACTCGTTCATTTGTAGCTTCCTGGAAGCTGGAAGTTTAGCATATTACAAAAAAACGCATGATATGCTTTTCAAGCACAGCCTACAGGACTACTCCCTACAGCTAAAAAATATGCCATTGGAAGTTTTGAAGCATCATGGCATAAAACAGAACCCTTTACGAGAATACTAGGGCATTTGTTGTTTAATAAGAAATTTTCAACCACATATCCAATAAGGTTTCAACGCAACGCATCGGAAATTGGCAATAGAATTTTCAGGGACCAGCTAAAAATTGAATTATTAATTACATGACTGCATGTAGGTCCTGCATCCTGAAAACATCACTGCCTGGGAAACCAAAAAATCCAAAAACATGAACAAAACACCTTAAAACTCAGAGAGATGGAGAACAAAATCCACAAAGTAGAGAAAACAAACAACCAAAATAGCATATTAAAAAAATTTTGAAAAAAATAGACCAGATGAGCATGCATGCATGCAGTTTTTATTTATGTTTTCATATATTGAGTGGTTGAGCAGGATTTTTGTGTTTGTGAACCAAGATGTGCAATTTTGCAGTCAATCCAAATTTATCCTAAGCCGTTCATAATATGTGAAGACAATCAAATTGATATCAATAGACAGCATTGGTGCTAAATAATGAACACTAATAGAGGCGAGTATACCAAACGTTAAAATTTACGGCATTATTAAAAAGCATGACTTGAAACTATGACCAGTCTTTGTAACGTGATCTTAATCTTTTATTTTGGCTAATGATTCTGCAGTTTATAGTTTTGCACTATGGGCACCCAGAAAACATGGCATGAAAAAGGAAAATTTGCAAAATTTATCAGGGTGCATCTTCTATACAAGAATCAAAACTCATGCTTCAAGATAAAAGGCACTCACTTATTCTCCAAGAAACCTGAATGCTTTTTCACTACTCAATTTTGTCAAAGATGCCTTCCGATGTGATTCAGCACTCGTAAGTTGAAACCAGATGAGCTACATTGGATGTCATTAAGATTCAGTTTTGCATAATCAATCATTTAAAATGAAGAAAGGACAAAATGATCTATTTCTGTATTCTAGGAGTAATACATATATATTTTTTAAGGCTCATAATGTTGAATTGGGGAAAAAAAAAGGAAACAAAGAACTATACCTTAAATGAATGCCGCAGCAGATGTTAGTCGCCTGTCAACAGCATAGTAAAGTACACAATTATTTAAATAAGCCCAGTGACAACATGTATCCCGCAACAGGGTCGAATTTGGGTTACTGTTCCCTGATGGATTTTGTATGATGGATTTATTCGTGTGATTTTGGTTTTTTTTTTTTTTTTAATTTATTGATCCGGGTAATTTTGATCAAATTGCATAATAAAGCTCAAATTCCTGGTTCCTCCCATCGGTTTTCGACCTCTCTGTTCTTGACCTCTCCGTTCAGTTGGATGGGCTTATTGATCCGATATTCATGTTTCAGATGAGATGATGACAAAGAAAAAGTATAAAAATGTGACTGAAATCATAAAACAAAATCATTCCTCCACCCTTTTATATCTCTTTCAAATTCAAAATCAAATCCTTGATATGATTCTCGAAAGATTTACGAATTAATTTGATTTAGAAATGATAATTATAGAAATGTTCCTCAACAAATCTTATTTTACAAACGAAATGTTTATTTAAAATGTATTTCAAGCTCGATTCAAAATTCATTTAGCATAGATATTGCCACTACTTTATTAAAAAAATGGCTCTGCCCCAACATTAATTATTTGTTACGCTATCTAATTATCATTCTATTATATATATACATACATACAAACATATATATATATATGTATATCATCTATTATTTATATATAAAGATGTAAATTCCAAAGCTATCAAAAGAGATTAACTTAAATACTTTTAAAATTTTTTTAAATTAATAAATTTATTTTTAAATGTATAATTTTTATTAATTTATTTAAGTTTAATTTAATTCAACTAAAATTTTAAAAAAATCTATGTGAAATTAAATTTTTTAAAATTTTAAAATTTTGAAATTTTAATTGCAAAAGTATTACAAGTGATTGATTAAAATATTCTTAGAAAACTTTTTTTTATATAAATTTTAATTTAAATGAATTTTTTTATTATTATTAGATTTTTTTATATATAATTACACTAAAAAAGTGCTAAAAGTGATTGACTCTTAATAAAATTTTATTTCCAAAAATGTTAAAAATGATTAATTCAAGTACCATAGTAAATTTTTATATAAATTTTAATTTAAATGAATTTTCGTTTTTATTATTAAACTCTTTATTATAATTAAATTTATATTAAAACAAAATATGATTTTTCACATCAAATAAAAATACAAATATAACGAAATTAAACCTTATTAGTGTACATAGGAATAAGACAATTATATGAAATTTGTTTCTTTAGTTGTTGTAATTACATATGTAGTTTATGTTAATAAATAAATTCATTAAACATAATAATAATTAAGTCATTGAAGAATATTTGTTTTTCTCTATTTTTACTTTCAATTTTTTGTTTTAATTGATTTGCTACTACATATGTATGATAATGATTTTATCATTTTTATGTTTTATTAGTTGATAATTTGATCATTGATAACATAATTAAATCCTTTTAGTCCCTTAAAATAATTCAAAAGAGAAATTAATTAACTCCTTTTATTTCATTTTAAATTTTACTCTTATGTATTTTTAATATTTTAATATAATATAAATTAATGTATAATAAAATTTTTAAATAAAAGAAATTTTAAGTTTTTGATTAGTAGATTATACAATTACATTAAATTAATGAAAGCACCAATAGAAGAATATCGTGAGAAAAAAATGAGATGAAAGATTGATTGGTTATGTAATATACCTCTATCTTCTTCATATGACAAATATGGTTAATGTTAGATGATGTTTCAATGAAGAATATACAAGTTTATTGATTTTAAATTTCTTTAGGATCAATTTGAAATTTTTTTATTTGGAGAAGCATTGTATATTCCCTCATTTTCTCAATTTTATAAGTTGAAGAATGTTCATGTTTGTATATAAATTTTAAAGTTACTATATTGGGTAATATTTGTTTAAAAGCATTGAAATTTATCACATTAATTATCACTATTACATTTAATATAAAAACAATATTATAAAATTGTAATTTAACTAAACTTAAAAGTGATTTAAAAGCATTCATTAATAAAATTCATTTAATAAATTTTTATTTAATTTTATATTAAGTTATTTCAATTTTTTTGTATTTTGATTTTTTATAATTTCAAATTTGTTTTTAAACTTAGAATTAGAGGTCAATTAGGTTAAATCAAGTTTTTTCATCTAAGTCTATCTATCGTATACTCAATTATTCACTTATTACCTAAGTAAATTTTACTCAAGAATTGGTGCAAGCATTTCATTTTTCAAAAGCTGAATTCAAATAATCCTAAATTCAAATAAAAAATAAGTATACTCAATTACATAAAATTTCAATTTCATTTTAGAAATATTTTAAAAAATTAATTAACTAATTCAACTACAAATACAATACAAGATGAAAGAAAGAAAAACTTAAATAAGGAACTTATAAATTGATACAGAAGATGAATAAGAAATATTATTTTATGATTGGGTTATTATTTCAATTCAAAATTTGGTTTTGGTCAATCTTTTAAGGTTTTAAATAACTACTCAGATTTTTACTTTTTTAAATCAATTGAAATAGAGTCAAATTTATTCGTTTTTATAATTATGTATATTAAATTATTATTAATTTTTTAATATATAAAATGAGTAAAAATTTTATGTATACTCAATTTGAGTTTTAAATTGTTTCAAGTTTAAGTTGATTAAATCATATTATTTTTAGCTATATTTTTATAACACCAATAATAAATTTCAAACTAGAATGAGAAAATAACAAAATGAAAATTTAGTTGCAAAAGTTATAGAGTTATTAATGATAATTCTAGAAGAAAATCCCTGTACTCAATTCTTGCAAATATTAAAGTATATATCTTCTTATAAGGATTTTAAAATTTGTATTACAACAATGTTAATTTAGATCAATAAGTTTATAATAATTCTTTTGCTGATCAAATTGCTATATGGATTGAGGGAAACAACTCAAATATTTTATTTGAAAGAGATATCATAATTCATACTCATTCAAGAAGATGACAAACAGTTAAACATTATTTGAGTTGTCATGACCCTCTTCAATTTTTTTACTCTTTTCAAATAGAAAAGTTAGTTGGTATCAAAAAAATATATAAAAAAACATTTTAAAAGTTGGTAGAATAAAATAATAATTAGAAATACACTATCTTTTAGTTTAATAAAAGAAATTTTTTAAAGAAAATGTGAAGGTAATTATTGTGATTTAATATTATTTGTTTAATTTTTATAAATTTTATTTAGTAAATTTTCTCTCATTACTTTTACCATATATATAACTAAAATTTTACCTTAAATTATATACTTAAAAATAGAAATATAAAGTAAAGTTTATTACTTTCATTGTTGGCATTATACTTCAAAACTTTCAATCTTTCATAAGTAATTGAGCTTCGCTAAAAAGTATGAAAATAAATACACTTATCATTCAATCAAATCATTAATAGAACTTATCTTAATATGTACAATCTTTCATTAGTAATTGTATTTTGTTAACAAGTATGAAACTAAATACATGAATCATTTAAGCAAATAATTAATAAAGCTTATCTTAATACGTACTATTTTATCATGAAATAAAAAATTTGAAGAATATCTTCGAAATATTAACTTAATATATATTGTATATTTATTTAATTTAGTTTTGATAATTGCATTAGTACAAAAAGTTATGATTTTAACTTATTATTACATGTTAAACTACAAATAGCAAATTAATGGCATTTTCTCATTTTTTTTCAAGTCATCTACACTTAAATTTTTTTTTTTTTTACTTTCTTTCTCTTTCTTACAAATTACATCGTTTAACATATATTGTGGTTACTTTCTTTTTGGATATATATAAATTAATGACAACATAGTAGGATATGATTGATAACTTAGTAATTAATTAGTAAAAGCTAAAAGTAATCAATATAACTTAGTAGCAATTATCAATAACTTAATAGTTAAATAGTAATAATTTTATAGTAAATCATTGATAACTCAATAGTAAATTAATAATTATTTAATAGTAAATGAATGATAATTTAGTCATTAATAATTGATAAATTAATAGTAAATCAATAATAACATAATAATAAATACATAATAATTTAGTATTTAATCAATTATATTATATTTATAAATGCATAACAACAAAGTAGTAATTCAAGAATAATTTAATAAAAAATAAGTGCTAACTTAGAAGTTAATCCCTGATAACTTATTAATAAATTACTAATAATTTAAATTAATAATAATTTAATAATAAATCAATTCCAATTTTAATAGTAATTAATTAATAGCAATAAATCATAAATAAGTTTTGTATATTGTAAACAATAATATAGTAGTAAATAACTGATAATTTAATAGTTAATCATTGGAAGTTTAAAAGT